ATATATATATATAATAAAACATTTCTGTCCCCCTCACTTCTGAAATGATGGCTACGCCCCTGATTGGGTTGTACCACCATTGAGGTTTTCAGAGGACAATCAACATTTATACTCGTTATGTCAACAAATTCTACAAGTTATAGTAAGAGGACAGATTTCCACCCTATAAATAAATTCTTAACTCCCCATTGTTTTACACAGAAATTCATACTTTTGCAATTTTGTCTTTTTGTGTGTGTGTGTGTTTCATCAGAAGAGAATAAGGAAGTGGCTGCCTTTGATTCTGAAGGTTCCCAAACTGGTGACTCACCCGAAAAACATGAAGACCTCTGAAGTCATATGGCTTGAATGCAGAAAACAGCCTCCAGGACACAATATTTGCCTAGGGACCACTAGTTTCTGCATTGTCTAAATACTGTTTGTTCTTCTGGAATAATCAAGAGTGAAAGGCACTTACAGTAAATATTTAAGAAACAGCACTTTTTAATTTGTGGAACATGTTTTTGCAGTAGACCCAGTCAGCACAACTTTCTCAGTGAGCAAGATTTACTTAGGATACATTCACAGCTCTTTTTTTTTTTACTTATATGCCCCCTCCCAATTTGTGTTTATTTGTCTTGAAAGTGAAATAAAATCAAAATTAAAAAAATTATCAATGGTTTCATTTTTTTTTAAATTGGGTTTTACCACCACATCTATCTAGCATTCTTTATAAGTACTTTTGAGACTTTTTATAAACCCTGCCTGTTTCACCACTGTACCATCTTTTCCACTGTTCATTAATTCATTTGTAATTATAGCTTTTACTTCCATTTTCCCCATTGGCAATTAACATCCGCTTCTAATTTATCAAGTTATTTTTGGCTATCATCCACCTCTTTCCCTAACACCCCAACATGTGCAAGTACCCAAAAAAAAACGTATCGCTACTTCAATTACATACCTCTTTCGTATTCCTTTGTTGTTGTTTTTTTTATTTATTTTTTTATTATTATTAAGCTCATGTCAACCACTGGATCTGTGGTTTTTCAAGGTGGGTTACCACTTAAGGTACCACAGGACAAAATGACATTCTTAATTCATAAATGTTTGGCCCACTACCCAAAACTACGACCTACAGTGTCCCACTGTATTGTGAGTCAGGGTCGTTACCAGTAAACCTAGATGTTTTATATACAATTATTTTATAGATTTATTTTAAAGTTAAAATTGTATGAAAATGGTAATATTTCTTCATTAATTTACTGTGTCGGCCTTTTTATTCACATAGCTGTTACAAAGAAATGAAACTTTTGTGGATTATGGAAAAATATTCAATAATCACCTGCAGGTAACATTTATCTAATCATAACAGTTGTCTGAGGGTACTCCGCTTCGTGTCGTGCCTAACAACGCCCCTTAGCTGTTATAAATTCACTGTAAACCACGGCTTCTTGTGGCTTATTGCTTTAATTTATTGTATTAATATACAATAAGCAAATTAGTGCACAGAGATAGACAAAACCACAAATATGTAACAAAGCGGTTTCTTTGACAACTTAAGTTTTCCAACGCACGGTCTATACTCTTTCCTACACGCCATGTAATTTTTAGGGCATAAATTATGGGAGTACCTTCTGTTAAACTGTGATAAGCAGCAACTGCCAATAAAGTTGTTTAAAGTCACAATGAAACAAAAGTAGTGCAAATCTTTTCTTATGTATTGTAATGTACATTCGAGTGTAATAGATTGTCAAAAAAAAAAAAAGGACGTGGACTTGGTTCCATGCTTCAGTTGTTGATTGGATTTTGAGATGTAGGCATTGTGCTGCAAAGTGGAGGCAAATTAGGTTTGAAGTCCTGCATACGTCACCAAAGTCTGTTGTTTCCAGTTTGAACATTATATGTTCTGTCGATTTCTGCTACCCTGTCAGATTTTGCTACCTTCCATTAAAACAGTAGGTAGTACAATTCGACAACGAAAAATGCTGCCTGTCAAATTATGGTTTATCAATGTCTACACCTACCACAACCCTAAACCTACCCTTACAGTAATGCAAATATAGTAATTATGTGTTATATTCGCGGTTGTGGATAGAAGGGGTACAGCTACCGGAAACCAACAATAAATATATTTTTCTACCTATTCGATAGTGTTTTATTAACATCTACACCTACCCAAACCCTAAACCTACCCTTACAGTAATGCAGATACATTAAATATTGTTGTTTAGCATGAGAAAAATGACGCAATATTGATGTGCGCATACGCAGTAAACCCTGGTAGGAAAATCTGACGGGTAGTAGGATAAAATGTCAGGACAGAGGTCAATCAATCAATTAAAATACAAATGAAACATGTACAGATTAATTCTTCTTAATAAGATGCAGAATAATTCTATGCAGAAAATAAATAGGGTGAATTTTCATTTCATGCAAACTAGATGGAAAAACTGGGATATTGTTTATTAAATTAGGAGAAAAAAAACACACAAGTGCAGTGTGTCTGTTGTTTTTTCATACTGTTATAGCAAAATTTAAAATAAAAAAAAAGATTAATTTTGAGGAAAAGAACACCGTGGACTAAAAAGAGCTCTTGCCACAGATATTTTTGTATGATATATGTTCATACGTGTGTGTGTATAACATGAGCAAACAAACAGGCAAACTCACCCCATAATTACAGGCATCTTGTTACCATAAACTGGCCTGACAGTTAATGTGCTCATACACATATTTAATATTTCATGTAATTTAATTCACGCTAGGCCTCAAGTTCTTCCTACACCATATTCCAAAGGTTGCAAACATTCTGGCCAGTTCACACCTGCATTAATTTATTCATTCGTTCATTCATTCATTCTATAATTTATTATATGGAGTAACGCACGTTTTGTTATATTTTGTGCAACCATGTATATCATGTTATCCTAAAAAAGTAAAAACAAACAAACCAAAACATGCCTGGACTGGAGGCGTTGTGTTTGTGACGTCATAGAGGGTTGATCATGCACGTGTAACTGAGAGAACTGATGCAGCCAAACTATTCATCTTACCTTTACTGGATGACTATATTTATAGAGTTAACAATAAACCAGTTTATGAGAACACGCTTTTGTAAATTGCTAAACCTGATGCGAGGAATAATTGTATTCATCATCAATTCCTGCGCAAGACCCACGCAAGCTGTCATCGTATAAGCCGCTCAGAAAACAGATCCATGAGATCACATGAGCTTTAATCGTTGGACTATTTCCGCGTTGGTTCAGACATTCAATGGAGGAGCTGTGAGGCGAGTACGATTAATTTTTTAACGTGTCGCAACGCCGTGGATCGAGCTGGGGGGTATATCGGGCAGAAGGAGACGCACGGACGTGGCGCGGCGCTCCGCAGACATGCTCACTCGCGTCAAATCCGCCGTGGCCAGCTTCATGGGTGGAATCATGGCCGGATCGTCTAATAATAATAATGAACGCTCGGGTGGCTCGGACCTGCCGCTTAAATACCCCTACATGAGACCCAAGTTTCTGGGACTGTCGGCAGATGAGATAGAGATCTCTGCGGATCACATCGCGAGACCTATCCTGATCCTAAAAGAGACTCGCAGGTTGCCGTGGGCGACGGGATACGCCGAGTAAGAGCAGCTAGTTCATGCCTTGCAAAATAACACTGTTAAAAAAGAGAAAAAAACCTCTAATGCACCAGTGTGACATGGTTAACACGCGATGATTTATGCAAAATAATAATAATAATCATCATCATCATCAAAGTAATACGTGCTACCTCAGGCATATTCATTCATGTTTGCTCGTCTGTGCATTTTTTATAGTACACTAGAGACATTTCACCCGGAATTGAAAATCCTGTCATCATTTACTGACCATCTAGTTGTAGGGGCATTTCATGTCATTTTTTGTGTGTGTGTGTGTGTATATATATATATATATATATATATATATATATACTGAAAAAAGATCATCCCCACAGATCACTTTTATAGCTTGTTAAAGTTGCCACTTTTAGGGTAAGGATTTTAATTATTTTTTTCTGAAGAAAGGTGAAGGCCAAAATATGAAATGTCATGGATGTATATTTACTAAGTAATCCACTATTTTATAAAGGGGTGGTAAAAATGACAATTTTTACCAGAGATTTGGAGCCAAATTACAGAGGGGTCAAAATTACATTAGAAAGATGGCAGCATCATTATATGATTTTAACACAGGACTGGTAGGTCAAAATCTGTTGACTTTAGAAATCTTTGTTGCATTATATGCTATAGTGACAGATCAAAAATGCACACAAAAAAACCACCTTTCCATTTTTTTTCTCCAAAATTTGCAGGCCTGTAACTCAAACATATTACAGATATCTTAAAGCCCTTTTAGATTTTAGGTTTTAACAAACTTTTCTTTTGGTAACTTCATTTTTAATGGTCACATTCCAGCAATATTGGAATCTCAAATTATCAAATTTGTACACATTTTCAGTGATCAAAAACTAAATGTGGGTCACTTTGCATTCAGCTGATACTCTTTTTTTTTTTCTTTTAACGAGAAATGTCTGAAGAACAAATAATTTTGAAACTAGAAATTTATCTTGTTTCCCTCTATCAAAACAATTGCATAGAACAGACCTGTCTGCATGTCATACATATTTTTTTTTTTTCCAAAGAATGGAAACATTTTGCCTGTAACTCAAGAAATAATAAAGATATATCAATATAATTTTAAATTCTGGTTCTTAATAAACCTTCCTATAAGGTTCAGTCCCAGAGATATAGGGAGCCCAATGCAAATCAATGTCCCAATTTGTTGAATTTTACCTTTTTAATGGATGAAAACCAAATGTGGTCACTTTGCATACAGCTGATACTTATTGAACAATGTCTGAAGAACAAAAAAATATTGTGTTTCCCTCTATCAAGACAGTTGCATAGAATATGTCTCTTGGAGTGCCAAAAAGTCATTTTTCGGAAGTTTGCACGTCTGTAACTCAAGACGAATTAAATTATATCCTTTTAAACTCCGCGTACAGAGTGCTGTCGTCCGAAGAAGGCCCTCGAGCGAAATTGTGGTTCTTAATAAACTTTTCTTTTGAAATCTTAATTTTTAAGGCACTATATTGTTCAAAGATATCAGGCTCCACATCCAAATGGTTGAATCCTACCCATTTTTAATGTGAACCAATGTGAATTTGTGTTTATCTAGTTATGACTGTTGCCACTGCAAGTATGCAAATAAGAACAGTAACCCAGGGTTTAGGAATATATAAGTGATTCTGCCAAATATGCCCCTTAGAAGTGGTTACTACTTGATCTATGACTATGCTTTACATGTTATAACAATAATTCTAAAACAAAAGAAAGAAAAGAAAATCTAATACTTAATCCAGGTGAGGTGAATTTTGGTTTATTGATGTGAATATAATGTGTGAGGAAAGCAACCACACTTCCCTATGAGGCGTGGTATTTGTTTCAAACATGTAGTTTAAGTACTGCTTATTTGAACTCTTGTTAGCTTCAGGAGCTTGTTAAAATGAACAAAATCCTTTATATATATATATATATATATATATATATATTCCTGACACTGATAAGATTTCAAATATAGAATCTTGTCAA